TGGGGTGGGATATTGTATCCAATTCTGTGCCCTCCCACCAGTCTTCCCCATCCCTCTTCAGGGACTCTCTCATGAGCAACTTCTGCTACAGGAGGTGCAATCACTCCTCATGCTGGGGGCAATAGAAGAGGTTATTCAGGAGTTCAAGGGCAGGGGGCTCTACTCCTGATATTTCCTCATCCTCAAGGCCAAGGGTGGGCTCAGGCCTATCCTGGATCTGCGAAACCTCAACACGTTCATAAGAAAGCTGAAGTTTCTTATGGTCTCTCTGGCCACCATCTTTCCTTCTCTGGATCTGGAGGACTGGTACGCTGCCCTCGACTTGAAGGACACGTTCTTTCATATATCAATTATTCCGGCACACAGGAGATTCCTGAGATTCATAGTCAGCGGCCTGCACTATCAGTTCACCCCACTACCATTCGGACTTTCAACAGCCCCATGCATGTTCACAAAGTGGCAGTTGTGGCAGCCTTCCTGTGCAAACGCTGGGTACAGGCCTTCCCGTACCTGGACGATTGGCTCATCCAGGGCAATTCCTGAGTGCACGTGCTGGAGCATATGGCTCTGGCACGAACTATTTTCGGCAGGCTGGGGCTCATTCTGTCTAAGTCAGTGTGGGGGAACCTGCGGCCTGACAGGGTAATCTGCTGGTGGGCCGCCAGGCAGTTGGTTTACATTTGCATGGCCGCCCACAGCTCCCAGTGACCGTGATACGCCAGTCCCGGCCGATGGGAGCTGCAGGAAGTGGTGCGGGCCACAGGGATGTGCTGGATACCACTTCCCACAGCTCCCATTGACCAAGAACAGCAAACCATGCCCACTGGGAGCTGTGGCCGGCCGTGCAGATTACCTTGATGGGCCGCAGGTTGCCCACTACTGGTCTAAGTCTACACTGGTTCCAACCCAGAAGATAGCGTTCATTGGGGCTCTCCTGTACTCCACTCAGGCCAGAACCTCCATACTGAACTGAACCTGCATGAAGCTTCTGGGGCATATGGTGGCCCGCACATATGTATTGTAGCACGCCAGGTTGTGCCTTTGTCCCCTCCAGGCTTGGTTGGTAAGGGTATACAGACCCAGCAGGGGTCTGGACAGACTGGTTACCATTCCGCCCAAGATTCTCGAGTCCCTCAGTTGGTGGCTTCAATCTCAGGTGGTCCGTGGGGGAGTACCCTTTGCCAAGCCTCAGCCTTCACTGTCGCTGGTCACGGATGCATCGCAGATGGGCTGGGGAGCGCACCTGGGTAGTATCAGAACTCAAGGCATGTGGTCACAGCCAGAACTTTCGCTGCATACCAACGCTGGGGAGCTGAGAGTGGTTTGCCTGGCTTGCCAGACGTTCCAGGCCCATCTTTAGGGCAAATGTGTCTCAATACTTACAGACAACACCACAGAGATGTTCTGTATAAACAAACAGGGTGGTTTTTGCTCCTTTCCCCGTGCCAAGGAAGTTCTTCGACTGTGGGACTTCTGCGTCGCACACTTCATCCAGCTACAGGCCTCATATCTGCCGGGAACACAGAACGAACTAGCGGACCACCTCAGCCGCTTATTCAACACTCACGAGTGGTCACTCAGAGCGGACATTGCCCTTTAAATCTTCCAGAGGTGGGGCTATCTCCGCGTGGACCTGTTTACAATGCGGAGCAACAGAAAGTGTCAGCTGTTTTGCTCCTTTCAGAACCAGAGCCGCGGCTCCATAGTGGATGCCTTTCACCTACCACCTGCGTTCCCACCTTTCCCCCTCATACACAAGGTCCTCCTCAAGATCCGGCAGGGCAGGGCTTCAGTGATCCTCATAGCACGAGCGTGGCCCCGACAGCACTGATTCACCATGCTGCTGAACCTATCAGTGAACAGGCCAGTGGCCCTTCCTATGCTCCCAGACCTCATCACACAGGATCATGGCCAACTACAACACCCCAACCTGGAGTCCCTCCACTTCATGGCATGGAAACTCCAAGGCTGAACCAGCTTGAACTGCAGTGCTCGGACTCTATTAGGGAAGTTTTGTTGTGGAACGGGAAGCCCTCCACTTGCACAATGTACCTGGCAAAGTGGAAGCGTTTCTCCTTTTGGTCCCTACAGAAAAGTACCTCCCCACAGCAAGCCTCTACCCTCTAAACCTTCTATCCGGGTGTGGCAGGCAGGTCAGTCTTTAGCAATCCCATGGTGGGCCGGTTTAAGGGCTTGGATAGGCTTTACCCTCAGGTGAGGCAGCCAGTTCCCCAGTGGGATCTTAATCTGGTCCTTTCCGACTCTTGGATCCCCCTTTCGAGCCTCTGGCCACCTGCCCCATATCCTACCTTTCCTGGAAGGTGGCCTTTCTGGTGGTCATAACCTTGGCCAGAAGGGTCTCTGAGCTCAGAGTGCTGACTTCCGAGCCCCACTACACGGTCTTTGACAAGGTGCAGCTACGCCCTCAGCCAGCGTTCCTACCCAACATAGTATCCCAGTTCCATGTTAACCAGGACATATTCTACTGGTATTTTTTCCTAAACCTCCTGCCAGCAACAAAGAGCAGACACTCTATTCCCTGGATGTCAGGCATGCACTAGCCTTCTACATTGAACGCACAAAGCTGTTTCGTAAGTCACCACAGCTTTTTGTTGCAATCGCCGAGAGGATGAAAGGACTTCCCATCTTGTCCCAGCACATCTTATTGTGGATCACGTCCTGCATCAGAATGTGCTATGACCTGGCTAAGATCCCAGCCCCGGCGTTGACAGCACACTCCACAAGAGTGCAGACATGTTCTGCTGTGTTCCTCGCACAAGTCCCCGTTCAGGACATATGCAAGACAGCAACGTGGTCTTCACGTCGCACTATGCCATCACCAAACAGGCAAGGGAGAATGCGGCATTTAGCAGGGCAGTACTGCAATCAACAACTCGGTGAACTCCGATCCCTCCTTCGTCTAAACTGCTTGGGAGTCACCTATTGGAATGGACATGAGCAATCACTCGAAGAGGAAAAGACGGTTACCTACCTTTCGTAACTGTTGTTCTTCAAGATATGTTGCTTGTGTCCATTTCAAATCCCGCCCGCCTCCCCTCTGTCAGAGTGTTCCAGCAAAGAGGGACTGCGCAGGCGGCGGGTCGGCAGGGACCTATATTTACCTGTCACAAAGGCACCACTCCAGGGGGCTCCACCTCTAGGGGAAAAACTTGTTACAGTCGTGCACACAGCACGCACACATACCTATTGGAATGGACATGAGCAACACATCTCGAAGAACAACAGTTATGAAAGGTAGGTAACTGTCTTTTCTCCATTTATCTGTTTCAGATTTGCTCCCTTTCGATTTCAGCATTCAACAATAGAGCAACTACATAAAGGTTTTTTAAAGTAGTACTGATATAATCCAACCGTTTCTGTTTATCTTCATCACCTCTTATCTTGGCTATTGCAACTCCATTTTCTGTCCTCTCCCAAAAGACTTAGGCCTTCAGACCCCAGCATGTACAGATGCTGCTGGCTGCTTTGTCACAAGTACAAAGAAGTGCATCCCCACGCCCAAACAGTTACACTGGCTCCTTGTTCATTCCAAGGTCCCAAGTAAATTTGGATTTATCTTTTTTAAATAAATCTTTTCCCCCCTGTATCTCTGCATTCACTGTAACTGACTTACAGGGCCTTGTGTCTCTCTCCTTCCATTCCAGGTCACTTCACTTATCTGACCACTCCTTTGGCAACTCAATACAGTTTTGTCATTGTGAAATCCTTCTCCTCAGCAGCTTCTTTTGTCTGGAACAGCTTTCCTCTATCTCTGCATCTTTGTTATCAAGTCACAGAGGAAAACCTCTTATTTCCTTTACCTGTGTCTCTTAAATTATCTCTATAGTGTATTATTCAGATCTATAATTCATTATATTGAACTCTTACAAAATTTTGGGTTACCGTTTATTTAAAAGATTCGTTACAAAAGATTCTTTGTATTTTGCCTTTTGAGTGTATCTGTCCTGAGTAAATATTTGTGTCCTGTGCACTTAAAATTAGTGTCTTTCATATGAAGGAATTCATATGATTAACTTCTATTTGTCACACAGTTTTTAAGGTTCTTAAATGAGTCATTAAAAGAATTTGAACAACTCAGCACTTTTCAGGATGCCTGTATATATGTATATACACATTGTACCTCTAAACTGCATTGCTTTTAGGGCTTCTTTATGGCCATGTTCCACTGTGATACCTTTCTCCATTTCATTATGAAGGTGTATTGAAATCCGCTTGTCTAGGTTGCTTATCTCCATTCTCTCTGGGGATATTGGGGTGAAGGGTTGTGGCATAAGAAGTCCTCTAGAGCCATAAACACTGGAGATAAGCATATTTCAATGCACCAGAATCAGTTCTGGTATGCTGTGCTTTGGACTGTGAAGAGAAGTGTAGCTGGGGGTCCAGCATATGAACAGCCTGCTAGGAAGCAATGCATACTTTAAGAATATTAAAATGTTTGTTAGTCTTAGACTCTCCTGCTGCAGTTGGAGCGCCCAAGTGAGGAGAGGAGGTAGTTGGGGAGGGGGAGAGAGAAAACCCCTAAGACAGGAGTCAGAGAGGAGCTAAAGACAGCGGCGGTGGTTGATGGCCAGTAGATCAAGCTTCCCTTCCTCTCCTGAAATGGAGGGCCCTATGATAGGGTAATAGGGAAGGAATGGGGAGAACAAGAGAAGGAAAAATGCACTGGTCACACTGATGACAACCTTCTCTGTTCTGTTTGTCTCAGACATTTATATAAATAACAATTGTGCTGTCACAGCACCATTTATCATGAATAGAATTTCAACCAGCACTAGTTGGGCTCAATTTTGTAATAAGCAATAAACTCTGTAGGGTCAGTGTCTCTGCATCCAATGTTTTGGGAATCTGTGCCCCATATTACAGCATGACGAGGTTGAAAGATATATTAATACATGAAAACCTTAAATCTAAACTGATTGAAAAGATCGGATTGAAACTCCATATGATTTATACTTGGGTTTTTTAATTTTTAATTTTAGGTATTAGAAGACAATGACTATGGTCGTGCAGTGGACTGGTGGGGCCTGGGAGTTGTCATGTATGAAATGATGTGTGGGAGATTACCATTCTACAACCAGGATCATGAGAAACTGTTTGAACTAATACTAATGGAGGACATAAAATTCCCTCGAACTCTCTCGTCAGATGCAAAGTCATTACTTTCGGGTCTCCTGATAAAAGATCCAAATAAACGGTGAGTGTAAAAGAACTCTGATGAGATATAATCTTAAATCTTAACTTCATTAAATTAGAAAAATGAAATTAATGTAATATCTGTGTTAACTGATGATGCTGAATAAGAAAAAATTGTCTAGGCTAATGCTATCCTGGGCAGGCTGGCAGGTAGAGTGAGAGAGAGAATGCATAACAACTGAGTGAGCTACCATGATAAGGAGAGTTTGGCTGCAGGGGGAAGAGTCCAAAGGATTTAACAATTAGTCACCAATTCCCCTAGAAAAGCAACTGACCGAATAAAGAAAAAACAGTACACTTTACAAACATACCATAAATTTAGGCTAAATAAAAATGCCTCAAAGGTAAAAATGCAGGCAAGAAGACCAGTAGCAGGGTGTAGGCTACCCAGTTTATTGCACTGAGTGCAACATGCATGATTACCTGCCTCGTAGGCAGGTGGCATATGTGCATGTGTGGTGCAAGCAACTCATGGCCCTCAGAAACAGAGTACGGGCTCTTGAGGCCAGAGTGGCTGAACTGGAGGAGCGAAAGGAAACAGAGAGGTGCATAGAGGAGACCTTTAGGGACGTAGTAGAGCGGTCCCTCCTCCTGTCTGACCGTCCCTGTTCTTTTAATGAGGACAAAAGTCTTGGGGCAGGAGAGCAGCAAACTTGAGTGGAGGGAAATAATTGCATTGTTGGGACCCACCTTTAAGCGCATGTCCTGATATCCTTTCACACTGAGGATATTCCTCTGGGGGCAGAGACTCCAGTTACTGGGAATAGACAGGCAGTAGTAGTGAGGATTTCAATTATTAGAAATATAGATAGTTGGGTTTGTGATGAGTGGGAGAACTGCATGGTGAATTGTCTGCTGGGTGTGAAGGTAGCTGATTTCACAAGACATCTAGATAAACATACAGGTGGTGCTGAGGTGGAGCCAGTGCTTGTGGTACATGTAGGTACCAATGACAATGAAAAGTAGGAGAGAGGTCCTTGAGGCCCACAGTGGTGACGATTTTGAAATGCTAAGAGAGGTTAGAGAGGATACAAAAGCAGAAAGTGCAGTAATAATGGGTGATTTCAACTATCCTCATATTGACTACCCAGTCACCTTGGCATGATGCAGAGAGAAAATTTCTAGACACTATAAATGACTGCTTTTTGGAGCAGCTAGTCCTACAACCCACAAGGGGAGAGGCAATATTTGATTTAGTCCTAAGTGGAGCCCATGTCCAAGAGGTAACTATAGCTGAACCTCTTGGTAGTAGGGCCCATAATGTAATTAAATTTAGCATCCTTGTAGCAGTGAAAATACCAAAAAAGCCCACCATGGTAACATTTAATTTTAAAAGGGAAACTACACAAAAATGAGGACTCGTTAGACAGAAATTAAAAGGAGCTATCATAAAGGTTAAATTCCCGTAAACAACATGGGGAGTATTTAAAAACACCGTAATAGAGACTAAGACGAAGTGTATACCCCAATTCAAAAAAGACAATAAGAGGACAAAAAGGATGCCACTATGGCTAAACAGCAGAGTAATGGTGCCCATTAGAGGCAAAAGGGGTTCCTTCTAAATTTGGAAGTCAAAACCTAGTGAGGAGTACAAACTCTGGCAAGTTAAGTGTAAAAGTATTAACAACATAGGCCAAGAAAGAATTTGAGGAGCAGCTTGCTAAAGATGCAAAAATTATTGGTAAGAGTTTTTTAAAGTATATCTGTAAAGCACGAAGTCTAACAAGCAGTCAGTGGTGCCACTAGATGACAAAGGGGCTAAAGGAGCACTCAAAAAAGACAAGGCCATTGCAAAGAAGCTAAATGAATTCTTTGCCTCAGTGTCATTGCAGAGAATGTGGGGGAACTATCCACATCAGAGCTATTCTTTTTGGGAGACACATCTGAAGTACCGTCCCACATTGATGTGTCAACAAGATGAAGTTTTGGAACAAATTGATAAATTAAACAGTAATAAGTCACCAGGACCAGATGGTATTCACCCAAAAGTTCTGAAGGAACTCAAATACTAAATTGCAGAACTACTAACTACTACTAATTGTAGTATGTAACCTATTGCTGAAACAAACCTGTCTACCCAATAACTGGAAGTTAGCTAATGTAATACCAATTTTTAAAGAGGATTCCAGAGGCAATCCTGGAAATTATTAGCCAGTCTATTAGAATTTGTTGAGGGGGTCAACAGTCATGTGGATAAAGGTGATCCTTTAGTACAATATACAATATTGTGTACAATATAGTGTACTTGGATTTTTCAGAAAGCCTTTGACAAGGTCTGTCACAAAAGGCTCTTAAGGAAACAAGTCATGGGATAACAGGGAAGATCCTCTCATGGATCCTAACGGGTTAAACTATAGGAAACAAAGGGTAGGAATAAATTATCAGTTTTCACAACGGAGAGGTAATCAGCACGGTCCCTCAAGGATCTGTACTGGAACCTGCATTGTCAGCATATTCATTAATGATCTGGAAAAGGGAATGACCATATTCAAGATAGTTAAGTCCAAAGCTGACTGCGAAGAGTTACAAAGGGATCTCACAAAACTGGGTGACTGGGAAACAAAATAGCAGATGAAATTCAACATTGATTAGTATGATGTAATGCACATTGGAACAAATAATCCCAGCTTCACTTGTATAATAATAAATTATGTATAAATGTATACATATGTATTAATTAGCTGTTCCCACTCAAGAAAGAAATCTTGAAGTCATTGTGTCTAGTTCTCTGAAAACTTCAGTGCACAGCAGTGGTCAAAAGGGCTAACAGAATATTAGGAACTATTGGGAAAAGGATAGAAAATAAGACAGAAAATATCATACTGCCACTATATAAATCCATGGTGCACCCACACCTTGAATACTGCATATAGTTCTGGTGGCCCCATCTCAGAAAGAATATAGTAGAGCTGGAAAAAGTTCAGAGAAGGGCAACAAAGATGATCAAGGGTGTGGAACAGCTTCCATATGAGGAGAGACTAGAGGATTAGGGCTGTTCTTCTTAGAAAAGAGATGATGGGGGGATCTGATGGAGGTCTATCAAATTATGAATAGTGTGGAAAAAGTGAATAGAGAGATGTTATTTACTCTTTCCCACAACATAAAAGCCATGGGTCTCCCAATGAAATTAATAGGCAACTAATAAAACAAGAGGAAGGACTTTTTCACACAACGTACAATTAACTTGTGGAACACATTGCCATGGAATATTGTGATAGCCAAAAGTATAACTGGGTTCAGTAGAGAACTGGATGAGTTCATGGAGGATAGGTCAATCATTGGCTATTAACCAAGATGGTCAGGGATGTAACACCATGCTCAGGGCAACCCTAAACCTCTGACTGCCAGAATCCGGGAGGGGAAAACAGGACTGGATCTCTCCAAAATTGCCCTGTTCTGTATACTCCCCCTGAAGCTCTGGTAATGGCCACTGTTGAAGTCAGGATTCTGGACTAGATGGACCATTAGTCTGACCCAGTATGGCAGTTCTTATTTTCTTATGTTATCAATCAACAATAGCAAAGATAGCAATTAATGTTAATTCTAATTAATTCTAATTATGAATCCAGCAAAAAGCCTTCTAATGGGTAGTATAATTGGATAATGTGTTTATTTTCTTTATTATACCTTCATCATCACTAATAAAATAAGCAGGAATAGCAAAGTACCAAAACTAACTGTACACATAAGCTGAAATCCTGGCTCTATAGAAGGCAGTGGCAAAACTGCCATTTACTTCAATGGGGTCAGGATTTCATCCATAGTGGGTTTTTTTTTAAAGTTAAGGCAAAGTTAAATAAAATATAAATATACTTCATCATATATTACTTATTCACAATCAGGTTAATATTCAAAGAACCTGGCTACAGATTCTGATTTGCTGGTTGGAGACCGTGGTATAGGAAAATATAGATTGTCCTTGGTAATGGAAAAGCTTTCACACCAAGTACCTATAAAAGAAACCCATAGTATATTTTCAGCAGAAATATAGACCAAGTACTGTGGTAAATTAAACATAATCCATGAGGTATCTTGTGTAATGTAAATAACTGAAAAACTTTAGTCTACTACCCTAGCGATAGCAAATGTTCATGAGATTTGAATTTTGTTTAACTTTAGTCTTTTGAATAAATAGAACATACTGTTGGTTACTGATGCTGATACAGTTATCAAATACTGCAGTCTGATACCTTGCCTTTTCCAGTACTATTTCAGGCCAGATAGTGTGTAATAAGGAACTGAGTGGAATTTTTTGGGGTGTGAGGGTAGGACACAGTATATTTTCTGAAATTCTTAATTTTTCTAACTGTAATAATAATCGGATATCTGAAATTATACTGATTTAATTGATGTATTTGGCATCTCTCTTGAAAGGTAATGTATTTTAAGAGAGATTTTTTTTCTTGCTTCTGTGCAAGACAGAGGGGTGCACTTGGTAGTGCAAAATTCTTAAACATTAATCTGCCTCACCATAAAGTGGTGCTCATGTGTATACTGTTCTGAGCTCTTTATGTGTGTGCGCATATAAAAGATACAACTTTGATAAATCGTAGGTACCCCTAAAGAAACACAAAATACATGATAAGGGATTGGGGAACACGTCTTATTCGGAGAGGTTTGGAACTGTAGTTAGTACATTTAGTTAAAAGAAGCCACAAAGGAAGACTCTATATTAATACTTGAGCAGCGTAAAAATAGAATGGAAAGGGAAATATATTTAATTTATTGTTAATAGTGATCATATGAATGAGAAATGGACTGACCTAGAAAAAGTTAGGTTAGAGTTCAGAAGTATTTATTTTGCCTCAGGATAGCCATATGTGGGATCTACTTGAGGTTATTATTTTGAGCTCTTAGGGCTTGTGTGGATAGGTTTACACTATTGTTAGCCTTGCCTAAAGCAAAAGAAAATCCAGTTTGGGTTGGAGGATGATTGCATTTTAATTTGTCAATTATCTGCTGATAAATTATCACACACACATTAAATTAATTCTTACTCAT